TTTGGCTCTTAAAACATATTCAGAAACCAAAGACTATAAGCGTAAAATTGAGATGAGTAAATACGCTTTTACAACTTAACAGAAAGTGCTACTAGATCTCAGAACGCATTCAATAAAGATGATTCATAAAGGAGTTGAACATTCTGGATGACACCATCGTGGATTTCAGTCCTTTAGAGACGAAATTTGAAAAACAATACAATAAACAATTCCTCTCCCCCGTCAACACCACTGGTACTAACTCTAATTAATATTATCTTTGATAAGATCATAGATTTGTGCCCACCAATCAACATAATACTTAAATGTCTTCTTTGACTTTGTAAGAGGGATAAACTTGCATTCTATTCCTAAAATATCAAATAGTTGCTTGAGAATGAAGCTAATACTAATTATGCGTTTTTGGCCAGTATTGACTTCCGGTGCCACTTTATCAATCAGTTTACATATTCTCAGGATCTTCTCTCTATTATAGTAACCAACATGTATGCTATTCGTTTGTGCAATATCATTGGTGTCATTCCAAATATGATATTTTCTGTGATATATAAACTTTTTCCTTATCCTATGCTTATTTTGATAAAAATCCACAAACTCATTTGCTGATTTATACCCATGCATAGAAGCACAATTAGTGCACACTCGTTTAAAACAGTCTATAGTTACCTTTGGGTGGTCGCAGCATTTTGTTTCCACACTTTTGGTTTCCACTAATTTGTCATTACAGAATTCGAAAGGGCATTCAATATGTTCAATATGGCCATCTTTTGTAAAATGATTACTTACTTCTTTCTATACAGCTCATATACTATATTACTATTTAACAATTATTCCACGAGGGCGCGTTGGATATGAGATGATAGATAGCCAACGAGGCGCATAGCGCTGAGTTGGCTATAATCATTTCATATCCAACAAGCCCGAGTGGAATAATTGTTTTATTAAAAACGCCCACAAAATCTCGTTGAATCGCCCCAACTAGAACAAACCGGAAAAGACAAGGGACTTCCGCTATTGACATGTCACACGTCTATCAAAACTGTCAACGCGCGAACGGACTCGCCTAGACTGCATGAATGAAAAATCAAAACATTGTAGCGATGAACATTAGTTTTTTAAAAAATCATCGTGATTCTAGGATTTTACAAAGCAGAACAGCTTAAAAAACCTGGCAGATAATGTGAAGGAAAGGAATTTTTAAGTGACAGCCGTCGAAATTACTATGAATTTGGATTTTCGGTGCAGTTGTAAAAGTAATAACAACGGAGAAAAACTACTGGTATTACCTCGGTCGCTTGTTATGAAGTTGTTTGAAGCCACACGCTGGTTTTGCTGAACGAGAAAAGAAGCTATACTGCCGCCTCGATTGCTCTAGTGAATGGCTGCATAGCCTGTATGTGTAGCTGGTTACTTGTGATTTATATTCTTGATGTCGGATAAACAAGCTGCAGTTATCTATCGGCGAGTGACTCGATCGGCGAATGGCTTCGCGATCGTGAAGAAACAACACTAGTCTTCTTTCGTAGCTGGTCAAGGTACTTTAGTTCCATGTGTTTTCATGTGTTTTTCGACAAACTTTCAAACAAGCTCTTGTGGCTTTTTTGTTTGTTTTTGTCTTTTTTCTTTCGTTGAAATTGCATTTCTAGTATTCTAAGAAATGAATTAAAACGATTTGCTTCGGGCGCCGTTCTATCCTTCGCGAAAAAAAATCTCAGCTACCTTCCAATTTTAAACTGACGGGTACACCGACCATATATGGAGAACATGGTATATTAGCTCATATACCATAACGGCTAAGCCAATCAAAATGCTAGAATTGCATTATCCAATGTTCAGTTTTTAATAAATATTAATATCCTTTTAAATATTCTTATGCCCATATGCATAACTGTGAACGCCATCTTCTAGTATATATATCTTTTGTCATCAAAGCAGGATAGCGAAATCTTGTTTAGCTCATAGCTGCCTATTTGATGTTCCCGCTTCTGATTGTCTTCATGGTGTGATACATTTGTTTCCCATTTAGGACTGTATTTTTATAGTCCTGATGGAAGATATTTTTCTTGATCTCATGCGTTCTGATCCCTTTATCAGTCTTTTCATTTTTTCCATTATCTTTTACATAACTATACATCTTACTGCTGATCAAACTCCAATACTCTATGTACCTTCGTTAGCTTCAAACCAAGGGATAGATAGAGTTGCAGATTCCTATAGTGCAGCACATATGACTTCTTATTGGCTAGAGTTGGGACCAGTTCTGCTACTTGTCCAATTGTGACCCCAAACTTCTCCTGTATATTTTTGCAGTAGGGAGAGAGCATATCCTGGGTAACTTTCATTTTCTCCGCCGCTAGGGGATAATCGTTATGTAAATCATGAAGTTCACTTGGGTACTCTAAGTCTACTTCCAAACTCATGCCCCTCTTGCTGTCAAGTGCTAGATTTTGCAACTCGAGTTTACTTATCTGCTTTTGTGTCAACCATTTGAACCGACCTGTTGGAAGACACTGTGACATCGCCCATCCATACAAATTATTAGCATCCAAATACATAATATACTTGCTTGGCTTACCCTCATCATAACTGCTCATGTATTCATTATTAGCCTCCCCATGTCGGTTACCTATATAGGAGATGCCACCACGCATACCTTTTTCTATGAACTGGAACACGTCCACATCTGTCATCAATTCTAATTTAATACCTGATAGCCTCAAAATCTGCATATATAACGAAGAGGGGGTAAAAGGGGTTATTGCGTGATACGTGATTGTTTTTAATTTTCGTGAACGGTGAAAGTACGAAATTAAAACCCGTGAACTGTGACTGGTTTGCTTGTAGTGATACGTGAACTTTAAAATCTTTTACCTGATATTCGTGATTTTCAACTAATTTTTTCGTGAAAATAGTCTCAACTCAAGACAAATGTTACAGGAAAGCCAGTGGACCTTCAAATGAACTTTTCTGAAAAAACTTCTTCTAAAAGACTCAAAGGCCGGTTATTTGTCTAGCCAGTGGTTGACAAAAGCGTGTCCTAGGCCATTTTAAATTTTTTTCAACGCTTTTATCTTAACACTGGTTATCGTGAACGTTTCATGGCAACAACAGGGTAGACTGGAGAAACAATTATTTTCTTAACCCTTTTCGGACGGCTAGCGTCGTATCCGTCCCCATAGGGTACAATGTATACAATTTTCCCTTGACCCATTTTACCTTTCAGTTAATGTTAATGAATTGGTAAGCAACAACGTCAGCAAAAATAGATCTTTCCAGCGATACCTCGTTTTGGGATATTCCAACTAACCCTGACAGAGTTACACTCACAAAAAAGGTAACATTTGGGGGAAATTCCACTGCCAATTTCGCCAATTTTACATACTACTCCTTCAAAATTAATTTTTTCCCTTTCCTAAAAAGTTAGCCAGCCACAATTCCATGCAAATTTTGGCTTTTGGGCGTGAGTAGTATAAGGTCGGCTATGGGCGGACAAAAAACGCCTAGCAACCGGACACATTTTTAGGGGACATCAAGACACCATCCGTTGCTAAGGACGCGAACGGAGTGGTAGCGAAATTCGAGTGGGGCGAAGTGTCTAATCCTAAATCAGTCGAGTTCAATGTCTAACTCTAACCAATTGAGTGAATTTTCTAACCCTAACTTTGAGAGATTCGAGTTGGGCGAAATGTCTAACCCTAACCAAGCGAGTGAATTCCCAAAATCTAGCCAAGTGAGTGAATTTTCTAACCCTAACCAAGTGCGTGAATTCCCAAAACCTAACCAAGCGAGTGCATTTTAACCCTAACCAAGCGAGTGCATTTTCTAACCCTAACCAAGTGAGTTCATTCTCTAACCCTAGTCAATTGAATAAATTCCCAAACCCGAACCAAGTGAGCGAATAGCCCTAACCAAGCGAGTGAATTTTAACCCTAAATCAGTCGAGTTTAATGCTTAACCTGGTCACGGTTGAATGAAGGCGGGCAAGTTTGAACAAGCCCGATGACGTGTTTCTACTTTTAGATCATGACGTCATTCTCTAGATTTCAATAGAGTATAAAAGCCGGACACTTTGGCTGATATTTCATTCATGATCCTCTTGTCATTGCGTTAACATGTCGAACGTAACGTATCCACGTGCTTGCCCTAAATGTGGTAAGAAAATCAATAACCGGAGTAATTTCTTTAGACATAAGAAGCAATGTGGTACGTCAGAACATCGAGTACAATGCCCCTACTATCCAAAGACATATTCTAGGAAGGACGATTTGAAAAAACATTTCAAGACTACGCATTCTGAAGCAGCCAAGCGGAAGGCCGAAGAAAGCGCTGAATTGTTAAGGCTGGAATTATTGAATTCCAACAAGGTACCCCGCTTGAGTGTTGAAAGCCAGAGAGGCGGTGCAGCAACGTATGGTAAACGCACCTTGGACAAGGTTGAAAGTACTCCACCAAAAGCATCAAAGAACGATAACGAACAAGCAGATGAAGCTGCCAGATCTGATGAAGTATGGTGGCGGTTCGAATCCATTGTTTCAAGCAAACATTGACAAAATGGGTAGACCAAAAAATTGGAAAAAAAGGGAAAGTCATTGATCAGAAGTCTACCTTTAGCCTGGAGCAGCTTCGTGGAGCAAAACCAGATGAGGATTTAGATGTGGAAGCAGTTCATGCATTGGCGGTTGGTATGGACAATATGATGGATGACATGAACATTGATCCAACAAAGTATGAGTTAGCTTTTCAAATTGGAAGTAAGGAACATTTTAAAGAAACAGGTCTTACTGGAGAAACCTGGCACATACCTGCGGATGATTACTATCAACGATCAGAGCGCACTCAATCGATGCTGAATCATATCGCCAATGTTTTAAATTCAGGTGAATTTATTTCGTCCGATAGAGGTTTCACCGCCTCCATGACCCTAATACGTCGCGATTAAAGGCGGTAAAAATCCTAATTACAGACCAGGTGACAAAATCTGGCAAGAGGTAGTCAAAGAGATGAGCTGTGTATATGAAGTCAAAAACAAAGATCAGTTATGCTGTGGTCGCGCTATCGCAGTGATGCGGGAGTATGCGAAACACAAAACAGGTGAACCTAATTGCTTTGACAATGTGGCAAGAAAACGCAGCAGTTGAAAATTGCAAGAGAGCTATACAAAGCAGCTGGTGTCCAAGAAGGCCCTTGTGGGTATGCTGAGATAGAACAATTTCAGAACTACTTGGGATCCAAAGTATACCAACTCATTGTCGTAGACCCAGTGCGTGGTGGTGTAACATTTACAGGTGAAGCTTACAAAAATGCTCCTAAAGTAATTCAACTGGTGAAAACCTATTATGAAGATGACCAAGGCGAGACCCAGGCACATTGTGATGGGTTATACAGCGTCGCATCTATCATGAACCGCTGCAAATTTTGTCGTTATTGCTGCAAAAGGTATGATCATGAAGATGCCAACCATCATAATTGTTTACATCGGAATTGTCCTAGCTGTATGCGTCGACGAAATGATGATTTTCAAGGATGTCCTGATTACACTGGTTGGATTAACCCTACAATTACATGTGCCAAATGTAACAGACAATTCTTTGGCGAAGATTGCTATCAAGCTCATCTCCTTCAGCTTAAACAGGAAGAAACAACCATGGAAAGAGAAATGCGCAAACAGGTGGAGATGGAGAACGATATTGAGATATGGCCCAAGGAAACATTCAAAAGTGTTTGTGAAATGTATTGCAAATGCAAGACGTGTCTCGTGTCTTTCAAAAATAAAGAGGGGGTGAAGAACAAATGTGGTCACGGACAGTGTGCCAACTGTTTGGAGTACGTCGACTTGTATCGTCATCATTGCCATATTGTCAGCGAATGTTACCGGGACAATAAACGCCTGGAGAACAAACAAAGGGCAGAAGAACGTTGCTTGGAAGCCATTACAATGATGTCGACTACTGATGATCATATAGTTCAAGATATCGTGAGGAAACCTATCACATTCAAAGAAAGAGACGGGACCTTCCAGTCTGTCAAGCTGGAAACGAAGCAGTCGAGCAGGCTAAGAAAGAATTACCAGCCCTTTGTGTAGACATTACCAGTATCCCGGATAATAAAGTGGTCGATTATTACTCTACGCATTTTCAGGGGGCAATATGTCGTAACATAGAAAAAGAATTGGTGTTTACCGACATTGAATGTGACATTGACGATTCTAGAACATTTACACCAAACTTTATTTGCTTCGAACGAGAAGCCTCGGACGTGAAATATGTGACCCTCCAGAGGATTTTAATGCTAAAGGTGAAAGCACGCGCACGACACGCTTTCACTTTAAAACAAAAGAATTTATTTTAACACGCTTTAGCACGCTTGCAATCTTGCCTCATTAGCAATTTCTTTGGTTTCAGAGGACACGCTTGAGACAATTAAGCGTGAGCAAGTCGAACAAAAGAGCGTGTTAAAGTTTTCAAACAAAAGCTGCGTGCGAAAAAGCACAACACGCTTTCAGTGTGCGCAAAACCACGCAAGGCGTGTTATCTATAAGCTAAATAAATTTCCCCTACAAAAAGGAACCGTAAATGATTATGAACGGTACCTTTTTTGGTAACTATCGAGAAAGAAAAAGTTCTACCTAAGCGATCGCAGCGATAGTATCTGATTGAAAAAACGTTGTCGCTTGAAAAGTATAAACAGTGAACGGTGGGACCTACTGGATTTATGGGTAGAAATTACAAGGGCTTCAGCATTATTTTCCCGAAAAATTTAGCTTCCAATTGAAAGTTTTAGGAAAGTGAGAATTTCATCGTATTTTCGGTTCCGAAAATTTTAGGATTCCGTTCTCTACGAAAAATAGCTTGGGATAGATAAGCTTCGAAAATTGTATATGCATGGAATGGTCATCTAGAAATGTTTAGCCTTCCTCAACCTATAGAAAATTCTAGGCAGTTTTTGTTTCTCCGATTTAAGTACCTTCGTTCGTCTCAGCATGGCTTAAAGAAATATATTAAACTAATTTATTCAACTTCATTTCTCTGTGCATTACTGCTAATAAATATTCCGGTACGTGACATAACTATAATTTTCAGGCGAAATAACTTAAGTGCCTCGCATGCGATAGCAGGCCTCTTTGCGATTCCGGTCAACAGCCGACAGCCGGAGAAATTGGTTTACACTGATCTCGCATTAATTCCAGGCTAGACGACCATTAAGTGGTGATTTTCAAATGGCTATGGTTACGATCTTACGATCTTACATGTCTTACCCCAATTGCACGCTAAGCGTGCTATAATTCGCACACTTACGGTGACATATGGCACGCTACAAAAAAACAAAAGGTCTAGCGTGTTAAATTTATCAAAAGAAAGGCAAGTGTGTCCGTCTTTGTTTTTTCCAAATTAATATCCGCATATCCGTGATCTACGACACGCTAAGCATGTCGTGCAAGCGTGTCGTGAGCGTGCTTTCACCTTGAGCATCAAATTCCTGTGGAAGGTCACATATCACTTTAGGGGTATATCTTTCATTCGAGATTTTCTTGAACATTTGATGGCGTGGGTAAAAGAGGAAAAAGGAAAGCTTCAACTTAACATCCTGTTTCATAACTTTAGAGGGTTCGACGGGTTGTTTATCATCAAACAACTGTATGAGATGGACTTAAAGGTCTCCAAGGTGCTTACGACAGGCCAGAAGATTTTGTACTTTGAATGCGGCAATCTGAAGCTTAAAGATTCCATGTCATTCCTCAACATGCCATTGGAGAATTTTACCAAGACCTTTGACCTGACAGAGTTGAAAAAGGGCTATTTTCCAAACAGGTTCAATAGAGCCGAGAATGAAGACTACGAAGGGAGTATTTCATCTTTAAAGTTTTATGAAACGGACTGCATGAATACGATAAAAAAAAAAAAGCCGTGGAAAAATGGCATGCAGAGGAAGTTTTAAAAGGAGAGGTATGGAACTTCAAAAAGGAGCTGCTGGAGTATTGTGAAAGCGAGGTAAAACTCCTCAAAGAAGGATGTCTAACGTTTGCAACTGATTTTGAAAAGAAGTGTTGTTTTAACCCCCTCATAGAAAATATCACAATAACGAGTGCCTTTCATAACTTTTGGCCTAACAATGAGATGATACCAGAATCTATTGCGGTGGAACCTACTCATAGGTGGGGCGGAATCAAGACAGCAAAGAGCAAATTGGATTCCAATGGTTGTTTTACCAAGATAACAAGTTGGGTGGAAATCGCATTAAGCATGCTGGTAATTTCGGGGAGCACACGATCATGTTAGAAACGTATGGAAAAGTACGTGTTGATGGATACGATCCAATCAAGAAGACAGTGAACGAGTTTCATGGGACTGAATTTCATGGATGTAAGAAGTGTAAGCCAAACAGTCTACAACTTAGAACATGGTATCAGCCAGATCGCACGGTGGATGAAATGTATGAACTGACAAAAAAGAAAACAGCATTGTTACGGGCAGCAGGGTACACAGTCATTGAAGAGGGGGAGTGCAAATTTAAACGCAAGTTAGCTTCGGACGCCAATTTACAAGCCCTGGTGGAGGATCTGACGTGGGTGGTACCTTTAAATACAAAAGATGCTCTGTTTGGAGTACGTACCTGTTTAAGTTGTTGTTATTACAAAGCAAAAAAACATGAATGAGTTGACTACATTGATTTCACTTCTTTGTGCCCCTCAATCAACAAGTATGGTACGTATCCAGTGGGTCATCCAACCGTCATGAAAAATCCAGTGGATCAAGACATTCACAGTTACTTTGAATGTCGCAAAAGTGGACATAAAGCAATGTAGCAAAAGTGGACATAATGGCCCCTGAGAAGTTATTTTCGGCAGTATTACCAATGATAATTGATGACAAATGCATGTTTACATTCAGTGATTGTGAAAAGTATAAATGTTTACAACGAGGATGTGCTGGAAGTCGTGACGGTGAAAAAAGACCGAGCGTGTGCGCCCAATGTGAAAGGCAATATTTTTGTCGCTTTATTCACAACAGCCTTGGCTAGGCTGAAGTTGTATGAAGAATTACAAAAGTTGGAGGAGCGGGTGTTGTACTACGACACCGCTTCGGTCATTTACCGCTGGAAGACAGACCAAGTGAAATTACCGCTGAGCAAGTTTTTAGGACAATTTACAGACGAACTTGAAGGAGGACACATAGACGAATTTGGTGCAGCAGGTCCAAAGGCATATTCATACAAGACTTTGGAAGGTAAGACAGAGCGCAAAAGCAAGGGGTATGAAAATTATTTCATGATGTCAACTGTACGTAGTAGCTAGTAGGGTAAGGTTGCATGGTTGCTCCAACCCATCAATAAAGTGTTTGTTACAGTTTCAACGGTATGTGTTTGATGGTGTGAAAAATCCCAAAAACCTAACCTTAAAAACTAGGGTGAAACTAAACCATGAACCCTAAATCAATCGAGTTTAATATTGAAGGTTAAGTTTGTCGAGTTCAGTGTTAAAACCCTAACCCTAACTCTAACCCTAACCAGTATGGTTATGATTGGATTAGAGAAAATATTGATCTTTCTGCTTTCTTTGTAAACTTGTAAAGTTCAGCATGTTGGCGTCCATCTTAGAACATTTGTAAAGGTGATTCCTAGTGTAATTACATTAAAGGGATTGTGATCAAAATTGAATTGTGTGTTTGATGGAGTGAAAAATCCCAAAACCCTAACGTTAAAAAACTAGGGTGAGACTAAACCACGAACCCTAAATTAGTCATGCAATGCCCAGGGTTAAATCAGTCGAGTTTAATGTTGAGGGTTAAATCCGTGGGGTCTAATGTCGAAATCCTAACCCTAATCCTAACCCTAATTTTAACCCTAACCCAAGGGACTAGGGTTTAACCCCAACTTCTGACCCTAACCCTAACCCCAAGGGACTAAGGTTTAACCCCAACTTCTAACCCTAACCCTAACCCCATGAGACTAGGGTTTAACCACAACTAGGAGAGGGGGTGGCTACGAGTGCGAATAAAATCCTGCGGACACAGTTTATTTTAATCATAAAGCAGGTCTCAGTTGTATGTTCAAGAAAGTCAAGATGCAATCGGTGTCTATGCAAGATTTGGAGCAAGTTTCTTATTGGCAGGAAAAACGTCTGATGACTTCCCACTGTATAATACCTACAACCCTGCGATTTCTGTAGAGTTGATGGAACGATATGACCGTGTGGTCGGAAACCACGATACCGTAGAAGACATTCAGCTGGTTCTCACAGTTCACCAACACCGAATCCCAGTTGGAATGAAAGTTTGCTGATGTCTAAGAGCGATGCTTTATTACGAGCCCTTCAACGTTGGATTACAAGTCATGGGTACTCGATGAAAACACGCTGTTTTATTTCCCTTCAAGCAGTAGAATCTATAGCACTCTCATAAACAAAATGTTTTGGTGTGTTAACCAATATTCCAATCTTTGCATTCTTTCCATGGGCGGTGTCTTTATCACGAACCATTTTAGCAATGCTAGATTGGTTAAGTTATAACTGGCTGATGGCACAACTACATTGACCTGCCAATGCATTTAAAATAATTATCACATTGATTTATGACTCTGCGGTGACTTGTTCAAACTTGACTGGATGACGTCATAGACTTGCCTGAACATGCCCAGCTGACGTCATTGCCAAAACCCGAGGGAGTTATTGCAGAGTATAACAGTGAGTTGAATTTGTGTTATTCATTACAGATTTTTTAACCATGCCGAAGATAACATATCCACGACCTTGACCCACACGTGGAAAAAAGTTAAGCAAAGGTCGTTTCTTTAATCATAAAAAGCGGTGTGGTA